TTTATATAACGTATTATAATTGTTAATAAACAGGTAATAAGCGTTGTCAAATGTTAAGAGAGGATACGGACTCCTGTAACACAGGTTATACCTAGCTCAGCCCCCGTAGCATGGCTACGCATTGTAATCGCGATAAAATTAAATAAGGTATAATTTAGATAGCCAATAGCGCGTGCTTATTTCAGTTTTACCGCGCGCGGGTCGCGTCTATATGCGTAGGCATGCTACGGGGGCTGGCGTCAGGGCGCGTTTCCATTACGTCGTAACGTTTTATTTATCGTTGAAGGACTCTCGCGTCTAACACGACAATCTGTCGTCGACGTTTATTCTATCGTTGAACGACTGTCGGGTCTACCAGTTAGATCGTGACGACAATTTATCGGTTTACGTCAGCCGCCTTGCCAAGCTGCGATTATCTGCGTCACTTTTTTACGGTGACTTTTTATTTATCGTCAGACGACTGTCGTTCTAGCTCTCCCCATTGTCGTTATAACATCAAAAAAGTCGTGAACGACAATTAATCGTGTTGTTCTATGTGTGAACAACTTCATTTGAATATACAAGTCACGACACTTTAAATTGCACGACGTACCATTTTATAGTGTAATTTTAATCAATTTTTTTTAACAGGTTAATGTAAAAACTTCCCTATTGCACTAAATTCGAGCTAAAGCGCTTCGAGTCATTTTAATGAGTTGTATTATAATCGCGCGTATTCATTTCGAAATAGAACTTTTACTCGTTCACTGAACAAAACTTTTTTGCTAAAAATATTTCGTTGAATCATTCAACAATGACATAATGGCATTACGCTCTTTGCAGCTCACGGGCGTAACTAAACGAAAGAATCGTATACACCATTGGAGAATCACTGTTTATATTTATAAAATCTCCAATTAACATAACGCAGACTTTATTTTTGGACCTGTTCTGTTTTTATTTAGTTTTTGGTTTCATTTTCACAAAATTCGGGAAGGATATTATTAGTAAATAAATATGGCAGTTTACAAAAATAACAGAAAATGACCAAAAAATAAAGTTGACGCAGCGTTTGTTGGAGATATCGAAATGAAGACGACTAAATTTTCAAGTTTCTATGGGTCAACAAGTTATTGGTTATAAACGATCAAATTACGCATGGTAAAAGTGTGAATTCGCTTAGCATCGATTACAATAATAGTAACATTAAATAATTTGTCTAATATGTACTTATTTAAAAAAAATGTAAAGTAGGAGAACGCACGAGCGAAATTGTGACCCACCACAATCTCACTGGCGTTAAGCTACGTTCATATAGTTGACCTAATAATATTTACACCAATTCGTTGCATCGTTCATCTTTCCAGTACAAATAAATGCAAAGGAGAGCAGGGAGTCGATTCAGAACCTTATTGTCGACAGATTTCTTTCCATTTTTATTCACAACACCCGGAACGTCAATTTGTCATTTTTTTTTTTTTTATATTTATTAAGGCTTTGGCAAAGCCATCAGCCTAAACATGAAGTTTAAATAATTATGTTTCTGTAAATATGGCCGCCACAAAGAGGATAGGCAATTTGAGGCGGTGTGCTTGGATTGACTCGGGATTCCTTAAAACGGGCCGATAGGGGTATTTTAGTTCGAGATTCGTATAATTTCGCGTTTTAATCTTCGATTAAGGCACAATAGCACTATCCTATTCCACTTTAACCTAGATTTCACAAAATAATTGAAAGTCAAAATAAAAACGACACTTTTCCCTCCAAAAGGTCCAGAGCGAATCTCAATTTGTCATATTCAAAACCGAACCCAAATGACGTCACACCCGTACGATTACTCGAACTTCTCGACCGGCAAAGGCTACAAACGTTATTCAGCCCACAGTTATCGAATGAAAGTTAACGAACGTCCTATTGTTTACAGAGCAAGAATGTAATATGGAATTATCTTATTATTTTAGATAAAGTTTGGATTTGTTCAAATTTATTAATTTATTTTAATGCAAGACTAATTCATTCCTATATGTTAGGCCTTTAAAGTCTTAAAAATGTATATAAAATATTTTTCTTGTAATCTATTTCACCGACTAACACCGTAAACGCTGTTGGATAACGATATCGTATCCGAATCCGAATCCAAAGTTTAACTCGGAAAGTTCTGAATAGCTCGGAAAGAGCCCGTCGATTCGAGAACCATATTGGTTAAAATATCGAAGAGTTGTGAATCTGGGTACTGCCTCGGTAACGCACGTGCTATCTGTATAGCGCAAGCTTCTAGTTTAAAGTTTTGCGCACTAATATAACATGCAAGTGATAAATATTGTTCGTAACAAGAATCAATACATTACGCGCCAGTATACCCTAAAGCAGGGGTCGGCAACCTGCGGCTCGTGAGCCTGCATACTCAAACATTAAAATCAAAATAAAGTAACAAGCCAACTAACAAATGAAAACTTGTGTTTGAAACTTAAAACCACGCAAAACCAATGCTTCCGTTTATTTACTACTCAATTCTGTAGTCATGTTATTTAATTATTTTAATTTTCTAGTTAAATACTTTAACTTTTACTATGTATGAATAACTAGATATTATTTTATATTTTAAATCACAATCAATTACCTTTATAAAAGAAAGTACTATAATAATATTGGCAAGAAAAATTTTAGCGGCTCTTTCAAAACTGTGATATTTTGTAAATTGTAATTTTTGGCTCTTTCAACTCAAAAGGTGACCGAACCCTGCCTTAAGGGAATCACTACACTTATGGACTCGAATCGCATTGAGCCGGTCAGAAAAATCTTTATGTCCATGTTATTTAATGCTCTTATTAGAGCGAAAAAAACACCGCTCTCACCGATTACCGCATGTACATAAAGGTTTTTCTGATCGGCTCAAAGACGATTTAGTGTGAATAAATGCGGTGAGTCCCTAACAGCAACCCTGGCGTTAATTTTAATTCAAAACGTGATAATTTAAATAAACAACCTTTGCAAATTAAACCTTCTAGAGTCGGCAGTAAAGCTATTTGAACGAAATAATGTTATTGTATCATTCTTTTCATATAAATTAAAATGGTTGGGCTTAGCAATGAATGCGATGTCATTAACAATAATAATGAAATTAATCTTTTTAGGCCGTGGGAGAGGCGAGAATCTAAAGAAGATAACAATAATAATTCATTGTTTAAATGATAATCGCTCAAGTGAATTCGGACATTTCAAATAATTTCTACTAATAAACACATCGAGTACATAAAAGAAATAGAGTCAAAAACACATCAGGCAAATGGATCTTGTATCACTTTTATATATCAACTCGCGTTTGCGCTGGAAACACAAATCAGAAAACTGAAATAGTACAGCGCCGACAACTGACCTGTGTATACGTCCACATATTCCAACAATATTCTGTATTTATTTATTGTAATAAAGATAATACTTTTAACAATGGGGGGCGGTTTCATTCGGTGGTGTGGGGAAAACAGCAAACAATTAATTACAAAACAAACGGAATAATACGTTTAATTATATATTAGCTATAAGCTCAAGTTAAACTGGTCGATTTGAAGTGAAACAATTGACGACACCCATCGATTGTTTCGAATTCGGGCTGGTCAATCGCAGCGCAGTTGTCACCGTAATGATTTGGCAGAAGTTTTTAAGCAAATTAAATGACATTTCGTCTCTATTTCTGGTTATATACTTGATGAATACGTGATAATCTTCATTCCGCTAAAATCTACGTCAAGGAGCTCGGTGTTTAGTACTAAGAAACTGCGCATTGAATTTTAGTGATAAGACTTCGCATTGGAAGGGCAGTGACGACATTCATACATCCAATCAGTAACGACAGATGTCTTGCTAAAACTATTACATATTAATATTAGTGGACTACGCAGTAATGTCAGCATTACTGTGTACGGCTTTTGAAGCATGCCGTTGAAATTACAGGTACACGAGACTTGTCTAACTATTGACGTGCGCAGTGGCAGTGCCCCGATCTTTGCGATTTAAAGCTCTGAGTGGCACTGCAACTATTATGGACAGGCGTGTAGCTCACCAGCGCACGACTTGTTCGTCCCGTCACTTGATATTGTAAAAAAAAACTTGCCATAAACTCGCCATTGTAAAGCAGAACACCAAAAAGTCGCAAAAGCAATTGAATTGTTATTGACACTCTTATTGACATACAACTGAGATGATTTAAAACTAACAAACTTGGGCTGCTGCCGTCATTACCCGTCGTAACATCGAGATCATTCATTACACTTACGATTTAAGCGTTAAAGGTTTTAATATCCTATTGTAATATACAGGGTGACAAAACAATCACTGTCCATTTTTTCCTCAGTATAAGATTCAGTAATACAATACATTAGTGAAATAAAATATTTTTAAAAATCCCCATTTGTTGCTGTTAATATTTCCCAATAATTCCTAATGCGTGGTTTCCTCGAAATAGTGAATAAAAGTCGAGATTCGTCGAACGCTGGGCGCCGGAGTGTCGGGCGCTTGCACGACCGCCAATCGGTAAAATATCCCACTGTAATGTTGTTGCTATGGCAACGGCGTCTGTTGTCTATAATTATTCACCAACTCCAATTTCTTAATGGCTCCATCGATTTTCACGATGATTCTGCCAATGTCAGGGTTGAAAAAGACACCTGTACGTTGGTGTGACTATGTACAGTTGGAAAGCCGGAGATCCGTTGGGTACGATGAGGATTAGATCAAATTTTGTTGGTTATCTTTCACCAAAACAAAAATACAGCGCAATATTTAGAATCTCAACCGGCAATAAGTGAAAACACTCGAGTAAGTATAAAACACACCAACGAGCAGAATCAAATATTCACAATGTTTCAGAAAACTTTGAGACGTCATAACTTATTTATTCGTTAATTATTTGTAAAAAAAATTGAACAAGTATTTTTTTATTTCTATTTATACAGCATGCTTCTCAAAAATAGAAATATAAATTCTTTTTTAATCAACCTGTATATAAAGGATAAGTCGTTCAAAACGATAACATTTATCGGTGCAAATAATATTACGTCAACTATACGCGTCTGTCTGGGCTATTTATTCACTATAGCTTTGAATAGCCCGAAACGTACTTTATAACGTAATTTAGAAGACGCAATCGTAGGCATACGTAAGCATCAGTCATCAACCCTGCGGTAAAACTAGCGTAAACACGTCCTCACTCCAGACATAGTGTAACAAGAAAAGTATATTAACTCCGTACAGATGTACCAGCGCGGCTTGTATTGCGACGCACACATTCGCATAATAATGAAAGGCGCGTTGGAACTAGTGATGCATAGAAAGTGTCATAACGGAAAAAGGGGTCTATTCGCGTTCTCCATCCGACATCCGTCCAAAATAATTACTGTGAAATAAGCAATACTCGACCGTATTAAAAAACACTTGATTCAAATGAAGTATACTTAACATTGATTTGGTCGAATATTACTTGTTTCTGACAGGGAGCGGATGAAACGGAAGCAGATGCGAAACGTAAATATTAGCAGAAACGGAAGCGAATGCGGAAGTGTAAATACTATAAAGATCTCAACGAAATATTTCGAAACAGGGCTTGTGTTCTTAACACAACATAAAACTGCTAAGACGCACGCGCCCCATTGCCAAGCAATACGCGGATATATAATCCATCGCGAACGATAAAAACTTCCGATAAAAATACCGTTATAAAAGTTGCGGAAGCATATACGGAAACAGATGCGAAACTTCCGCAGAAGCAGAGGTCTATTGCATCGCTAGTTGGGACGACCAGCCCTATGCAACGCGAGTATATCGCGGGATTATGCGAATGTGTGCGTCCGTACACGGCACGCAATCATACAAGCCGCGCTGGCACGTTTGTTTGGAGTTACCATACTTACACCATTATACTATGCTTCAGATAGATAACTAAAAACATGTATAGCATTAGGCAGGGTGCTTAATTGGAATACATAAAGAGAATATATGCTAAGTATGATTGAAAAATACTTTTGATCGCAAATAAAATGTACTTATGCTTAATTTGTTTAACGCCTCAAGGCCTTAATTCGTAGTATCAAATGTATTTCCAATCTATGACTATCACATGTTGAATTACTTAGGCGTACTTAGTGTACCCTATACGCATACGTTGAGTACGTCCTGTGGTTGACCTACTTGCGCGCCGAGATAACTTTTCTTTGCTTCTATCTCGGATTCCGTGACGCAACCGCGTTTCACAGCCACGCTTGTGGACGGTTGCACATCCAAATTACCATCAAGGAGCCTATTGGCCTTGAAGAACCTATAGTCAGCCGCTGTGTCCACTCTGGAGTACACCACGTCGATGGTCGTCGGTAGCGTGTGATAATCTTCGTTCACAGTTGCAGGTACATTGGAGTCGTCCAAATCCAGAACTGAGTCGCTGTGTGATTCTGGTACGTTATTGCAACTGACGTCAGGTGTGCTGTCAGAGTTCGAAGGTAGCGAGATTTGAAAGTTAGGCGGTGTGTACGGTGTGACATTTGGAGTGCCGATGGAGCCTGATTCTTTAGATTTCAGGTGTGCCATCATCCTGAAACACACATTTCTTAAATGTATACCAAAGTTTCAAGTTTCACGATTTCATATAACATCTTTAACATTCAGAATGTTCGCTTCGGTGGTATAACCAGGTCTAGTTTTGTGAATATATACCCAAAGGAATCAACTTGGTGGTCCAAGGACTTCGACTCTGGGTTATGTTCACGTCCTAAAGCCAGGAGGCGTCTTTTCGGCCTTTGTTCATCATGTCAGAATTAACGTTCGGATACCTACAAATCTCTTTAGTAGTAAAAGGCAAAACACCCACGGCAACTGCTCAATAGCAGCAAAAAAATCTATGGTATTACTTATTTTCCGTTTAATCACATGCTTTAAAAAAATTTAAATTTTTTTTGCAATTTCATTTTTATATTTTCATGGTGAAAATGAGTTTTAATGAGAGACTGAAAATATAATAATAGACTGTCCTTAGGTTAATTTAAAACAAGAAGCAAAATTTGTCACGGAGAAATTGTTTTCAGCTAAGAGCAAACAAAAACACATAAAAATTAATGTTTATAAAATAATTAATTATTTTTTACTTTTTCTATTGCACATTCTTTTCAAAAATTGTTTTCATTCTTTAGTTTTTTTATATTTCCTCGCAGTGTTTGAGAAAAGTACCATGTAATAGAGATGCCACGAATAGTGATTTGGTCGAATACCGAATATTCGGCCGCGCTCTCGGCCGAAACGCCGAATATTCGACGGCGTAAGATCTGTGCATTTCACGCGCGATCTATTACGACCTGTCTCATTGCGCTGCGTGCGGAGCTAACGAGGGTGGGGTGTTTTGTTGAATAATAAAAAAACGATAGAATTTGACAGTTTCTGAACCTATTTTGATGAAGTCGTTACAAATAATATGCAAATTGATGAGGATGTGCAGACAAGTTCAATTGCACATGAGATTTTTATTTGAAAACTGTTCGCCTAGATCGGACGGCAGATCCTTACAAGTGGAGGTCAGCAAACGCAAAACAGTATCCAAGGCTGTCAAAATTTGCTAAGATTTATCTATCGTCTCCTGGCAGTAGTGTTTATAGTGAGAGGCTATTTTCAGAAGCAGGAATTGTTTATGAGGAAAAGCGCAATACTTTGTTACCAAACAATGCCGAAAAAATTGTTTTCATTCATCACAACCTGCCACTGATTGATTTTAATAATGTGTGTTTAAAATACATGATACATTGAATAAAATGTGCATTTTTCATTATTGTTCGATATTCGGTATTCGGCCGCATACCTAATATTAAAAAGAGTGGCCGAATGTTCGTGGCATCTCTACTATACGTACTTCGGCAGGAACGGGGATTGTCTGACTTGTATAATCCGCTCGGGTTCTGCAATAATATACTATCTTTAAAGTGTACCCACTTCTGTAAGAGCTTTGCTATGGGCGCGACAATGGACTGCTTGCGGGTGGAGATGGTGGCCAGCCAGCTGGGCCACGCGCACAGGCCGAGATCGGCGCGTGCGCACGCTACGCAAGCGCAACCCACGTCCACCGACTCCACAGCCTTTAAGCGGACATCTGTGGACGTTACACAGCAATATAAAAACTATTAGGAACACGTAAAGAGCATTCCAAATTTATTTTAATGCGTCATTTATTTGTGGAAACCCAAGTTGCATAGACGTTGACACGTAACAAAACAAGTACAATTTCACTATGTCTGGCAAACGTTAACGAAAACGTCATTGACTTACAAATAAATGGACGACGGGTCTAATACAAAAACCACGAAAAAAATGTCACAAGTCAACCTATTTAAACGTAGTGACATGTAATGGAATATGAAAAAGCTAAAACGTTGAATTCAAATTGTAATGTCATCGCAGTACTGTCTAATTTTGCTTGCTTCGCTGTCAGTCGAACAAACGAAGACTAAAGCGTGAATGACGCTCTGTATATGATTTTAACGCCCTATAAGTTCGGACACTTTTTAGCGCAGACCCGACGTCCATATAATTGTAAGTCAATGGAAAACGTTTATTTTTTTATATTAATCACATGCAACGGACTACACTGATGTTACACGTTTTTTTAAACAATTGGAAGGTTCTAATAAAACAATTAATATTTTAAACACTGTAATAGTGATTTGGGTATTTTTTTTACGATAAATTATAAAAATTGTAAAATGTAATTGTTTTATCGACTTTTAAACACCGCTGGATTATTTTTTTGGAGTTATGTTAAAGACAGAGTCTATATCGAGCCAATAGAATCGATTGCAGCCATAAAACTCAAAATTTAGTGATTAACGATATAGGCCAACCATTTTGTCAAAAAGTAATTAATAAGTTTGATGAAAGAATCGACATCGGTAACTGTGGTCGTGGTGGACATTTATTAGATATCATTTTTCATTAATAACTGCCAAACCTTACTTTTTTAATACAATGAAAATTTGAATCATTGCCATCTAAATTTATAGTTTTATTTTGATTTACAAAACAAAGTCCTTGTTGAAAAACCCTTTACAATGCAGTTTATTATAAAAATATATTGAAACAAACGCAGACTTACCAGAAAGTGACAAGTCCAAATAGGCCTCAAGCAGCTTGGCGCCGTCTCTCTTGATGCGTTTCACGAAAACGGGGTTCCGCGAAGTGAGATCCGAGTCCTGGACGACGTACTTGGCCAATATAGATGCAAAGGTGACTGCTGTAGAATACAGTAGCTTCCACCGCAGGTGCTGCCCGATCATCCATTCCAGTTTCCTGAATGTTTTCCCGCACAATTGTACTCCGCTCGCCGCGGACAGAACTTTCAGGGTCAAGGCTTCGTTGAATTTCTCTTCACTCTTTGCTGTATTAAAAAAATATACATCATTGACTTACAATTATATGGACATCGGGTCCGCGCTAAAAAAGTGTACGAGCTTAGAGGGCGTTAAAATCGTATACAGAGCGTCATTCACGCTTTAGTCTTCGTTTGTTCGACTGACAGCGAAGCAAGCAAAATTAGACAGTACTGCGATGACATTACAATTTAAATTCAACGATTTAGCTTTTTCATATATTCCTTTACATGTCACTACGTTTAAATAGGTTGACTTGGGACATTTTTTTCGTGGTTTTTGTATTAAACCCGTCGTCCATTTATTTGTAAGTCAATGGTATACATAGACCACAGACATATATAGCAAGTACCGCAATGTGTATGAAAACCATGGTGCCACATTTTTGTACCTCCGATGACGTCACAAGCGCTATTTAGAAACCTCCTTTGGCATTATAGCTATTAATTAAATCGAAGGGAACGCAGCATGTATTTAAAATAATGATTTTTCAAGTATTTATGGATACCCAAAAGATAATGTGATTTGAAAAAAAAGTTGCTCCGGAAATCTAAAATAAAATAAAAACAAAATTCAAAAAAACGCCGGCCGCGTTCTGAAGCGTTGCAGCAACAACTAAGCGTTTATAGCTTACATTGTGCACGCGAAATGGGTACACTTGTGGCGTCTAATTTAGATTAGTGACATATACATAATACAAAGTTATCTGCGTGATAACTTTAAAGAGATTAACATTGTTACACATGCGTCACAGAGCATTTATGAAAATGTAATTTATGTTATGAAGAAAGGTTTTTTTTTGAGAAAAATAGTGACAGACATAACATTAATAGGTGGAATAAAAATAAACTAGCTGTTATTGACAGTCGTTTTCACAAAGTCAATTCATTTCAGGGGCAATGATAAAAGAGATATACTTGGTACTTGATGCAACGGGCTGGTATCCGCAACTCGACGACAAGGCGCCTATTTTGCGTGTAACGAGATATATTACGAGATTTAAAACTATTGCGCCAAAGCCAAAGCAGCACAATAAGGTATTTTTCTAGGATTTTAAAGAACTTGCACTGTACAAAGCAAAAATGGCGGACTCAACTCAGCTTTTGAAACCTATAGTTGGCACGCGTCAAACGCTAACTAATCTGTGTTTTCACACCTTTATTAAAGTATTTATTAAATTACGAAATTCACAAAAGAAAACTGTTAAAATAATTAATTAAACAGCCTAATTTTCAGATGGCAATTGGCAAAAACGTGCTTGATCCATAGACGCTTCAGACACAGACAGTCAGGTACTAACCAGCAAGACTGAGACAGGCCAAGGCGACGTGCGACATTCGGTCCGAGCGCAGTCTATGTGCATCCATGAAGAGGTCCAAGTGTGCCACAGCGCAATGCAACGTGGCGATGCTCATCCCCAGCTTCTTGACGATGTTGCGTAGTTGTTGCACGAGGGCACCGCGGTACGCCAACTGGAAAATAAAATAATCTATGGCGAAACAGAGAACTTATATAATCCCGAGG